TCAAAAAGAACATGATGACATGTAATAACAATGGACTGCCACATTCACCCGCATTCTATGTGTGTTTTGATGCGTACAGGCCAGCAAAGCAAACACATCTCGGTGATAAATATTCTATCTGTCAAACCAGGCGGCATTCTAAGTGTATGGGGAAAAATTTTGGGAGATCGTCTCCCCATTCTACCTTCCACTACGTCAGTATATATATATATAAAGTTGAGGCAGTTCTGACGGCAAGCAGCGCAAGCACTGACAAGGTCAACCAAAGCCGAATCACCGGCTTTTGATGGGCACCTGCCAGGTTTTACCTCGGTGGAGCAGAGCAGCGTGGAGTGATAACAGCTTGGACAGGTTCAATTGCTGATGTGAATATCTACCTTGAGGCCAATTTCGCAAGCTGTTCCTGATTTGAACGAGCTAGTCCAGCAAGTTTCTTGCGACTTGAGCTTTCTCTGACCTGCTTCAGGCGCTGACTCTTGCACAGCTTGGAATCACACACGTCACAGCCTGCTATCCGGTTCCAGGACCACCTTTGCATTGGCTTGAAGCACAGAGAGATTGCACAAAGCTTCCCCAAAGTGGCCGATGCGACATGTGTGCAGGAACTGATTGCCGGACTGAACGACACTCGTGGCATACAAAGGGTGCCTTGGCACTCAATCCGGGGCATCAGCATGATGCGACTTCGCCACTAAGGAGCATGTTTGGTGTCTGCTGATACCAGCTCATTGAGCCCAAAGTCTTGCCGCACTTCGGAAGGAAGAGGTGGTGGAGGGAGCCAAAATGTTGGGTGTGGAGGTTGGTAACAAGTCAATCGAGTTGGTCGCACTACTGGAATTTCACAGTGAACTTGACAAGGTACCTTTTGCGAGAGCTATGGCCTCCTTTGCCTCAGGAGCAACTGCATCAAGCAGCAGCTCATGTCCTGAGACAAGCAATGCAGCTTGCTCACACTGAGACGTCACCATCACATCAAAAGTTACAATGCTACAGTAATCCTTTGATAATTAGGGGGTGCTGCTGCATTTAATGCGTGCTTGTGTATGCATCATTTTTTCTGACTTGGATTGTCCGCCTCCGACTGGGCCGTGTCCCGCATCTATGCTGCAGTGTGAAGCATGATGTTGAAAGTTTGGATTAATTTCCATCCCTGCAAGCAGATGACACGCTTAGGATTGGGAACTAACAAGCGCGCTCCTGGACAGCACACAGTCTCCAGAAACTGCAGAACCATACACTGCCATACACAACTCCTGAATCGATGAGAATTGATGTAAGGTATGGGTGTGATGAGGAGGGGGATGCTCGGCTGTGACCCAGCCGCACTGGCTGTAGCCAGCATTCTCAACACGTGCAGTCGAATTTCCCTGTTGTGGTTGCGTGCATTTCATCAAAGCAGTCGTGGCATGACAGCCAGCTGCTCGAATCCAATTGCATCAATCTGCGGAACAATTCTTATTCTCATTATTGAAGGCAGAGTGCAGTTGAGCTTGAGCTCTTGCATTGGACTTCGGCCTAGGTGTGAGTGCTATCCCAGTGACTGGGCCCCCCTGTTGGTCAACCCTGACAGCAATTCATCGCAAAGGAGCGGTCTCACTGATTGGTCAGTGGATCAGCATCGATCCTCAGGAGTTGAAGTGACTTTGTTTCAGCAGAACGCTTTGGTCAATGGGCCCTGAGGACATATTCAAGCGCCTGGTCCAATGCATCCAGTGCGGAAGCAGGCAAACGGTTCTGTGCCGGCAAACGCTTGGCATACTTTTTGAGCTCTCGTGCCCAGGTGTGCTGGCGTATGGCATTCATAAGAGTTCTTATTTGCACCTGTGGGGTTGGACTTGGAACTCGAGGCTTTGCCCTCTCGGTTTGGCTAAGCATGCTTAGAACAAGGTAAAAATCCCCTATCCAGCGACTGTCAGCTTGATACGGTTATGTGGCATCACCCGCAGCATTAGGTTGAACGGTTGTTTTGAAGCCTTCAGGGGTTCTGTAGTCTTAAAGACTTGAGCTTGACATAAGAATCTTAAGAAGTCATCCAGCTTTTTGCGATGTTTGCTAGGGGCTAGGGGCGGGCTAGGGTCCCTGTACTAAGACCGACCAAGCTCCATGTTTCAGCGCTGTAACTGTTGGCTATTTTGGTAGGATGGGACTGGTGACCTGTCTTTAGTGATGCCCCAGTACATGAACGCATCATGACATGACACATCTACGATTAGAAGCTTGAACAGTGGAACCGTTGAAAGCCCGATTGTTGCACAACCAACTGAACCATGGGCCATTACGGGCCAAGACGTGTTACTGTATATGTCCATTTATGTTATACTGAGCACCAGCATGAAGCAGCACGTCCGGTATTCTTTGCACAAACTCTTAACGTGGGCGCTGGACTGCAACGTAGGACTGGTCGTTTTGTTTCTGGCATGTTTAGACTAGACAAGACTGGAATTCGCTAAATGTCCGCGAAGGCATTCATGTGATATTTTGCGAAGGCTCGCGAAGCCACTTGCGTTGTGCTTCACAAGATTTCACAAGTTGACACAGACAAAACTAACTCGCGAAGGGCCGATGGAATAAATGGCAGCACATAGATCCGACAAAGCAAGTTTGACGAAGCCACCGGGTATCCGTGAGCCTCGCAAAGCCAACCATTCCATATATTATTGCCCTGCAAAGCCTCCCGTGTAGGCATTGAAGCAGGGCATAGTCACTTCTCCTTTCAAGAAGGTCAGATGCCCTAAATGAAAAGACGAACGATTTGCTTAGTAGTAGTATTCTGAAATTGCAGCTGACGAGTTAGGATTCCAAAGGTGCCATGTGTGCATTTTATGCAAATGGGTTTCTCGGGAAGGTGCTTTGGATGAGACTGGCGACGATCAGATGTGGCGAGCAGCCACAGACTCTGATGAATATATGATCATCGACTTGGGCTCGAACAATTTCTTCGTGACCTGTTTGCGCACAGTTTGTGCTGTCATAGGCGGTCCAGATACAACATTGGGATAGTGTCATGTGAATGGCCCCCGTCGGTTGCTGAGCTGCAGGTGTGTGGCGTGGTGTCGCAGGGCAGTGGTTCTGCAAGTCTCTGGGTGGAGACTTTCCAGGCAGCGTAGTGTGTGTGGTGTGAAGTGTGTGTTGATGAGCAAATTGACGACATCCGCAGGTGGATATCAGTGTGAAGCTTATTTGATACATGTAAAAGAGTGCAAAGCACTGTGCAACAGCTGTGCTTTTTATCCACTCATCGCGGTGCAATCAACTTCGGAGTCCAGATGGTGTATGGCGGTGAAATTGAGGTGAGGATGGCAGCACCTATGCGGAACTGGCAGGAACATTCACAACGGCCGGAGATCAGGACACGCAAAAGTTGTCCAGGTTCCCTTTGCCTTTGAGAGCTCGCTTCTGGAATGTTTACCAAAAAGTTTTTTGATGAGTCCATCTGAGCAACTTTCACATGGGTTCACCTGGTCGGCAACTATATGTATATATATATATGTGTGTGTGCATCAATGCTCGTGGAACATTTTCAGAAATTTTCGACAGCCAGTAAAAACGATACCTGCACATGAGAAACCACACTTGTTTCGGTGGATTTGCATGTGCATCTCGATGAACTGCTCGCTGCTGTTTCTAAGCTATGAAGTACACAGTATGAACTGAGACTAGGATGATTAGGTTGGTGCTCTTTGAATATGGCCAAATATTGTTCTGCATGTGGGCGTGACGTTCCTAAATTTTGTGTTGGAGCGAAGTACCAAAAGACATCAAAAAACGATACCAAGCCAATGCCCAACATTTAAACCGATGCCAAAACCTAGCCTATATAGGACAATTTTCTTTGCTATTATATTATACTTTCGAGTGGAAGAAGCGACAACGACATTAGCTTGTAAGAAGCAAGAGGTTGCTGTTTCTACGCAATAGCTTTGATCATTACTCACTTGCTTTCGGAGAAGTAGAGTAGAGGTTCCTGAATAGAATGTTGTATACTGTATACTGTATACACATTGTATACACATAGCGAGCAATCTCCTCCACTGGACAGAGCATTGTTGGGTTTTTGATTTGCGTCTGATGAGGCTATGTGAAGATTCGTCCAGTTACAGCGAATGTGGCAGTGGCAATGCGTGCGGGGCTGGTGACCTGTGGGCCCATGCGAGCAGGACAATCTACGAACTATGCCTTGACGGCAGGCGGGAACTAATCAGAAAATATCTAACTTTACTATGCAGAGCTTTGACGTTCATATTGATTTCATGTGATTTTCAGGTATCGAATGCGATCCGGAGATATCCGACTGTGGACGCTTGAATTTATACTGTAATATTCGTGAGAAGTGCCCGGTACCCCCCGTGCTAACATCGAAGGAGCCTTGGTTGTGACTCAAAGGTGGCAAAGGAAGCATGTTGAGCCAGCTGAGGCAGTGCCATCATTGACGGTGTCAAGTGCACGGATTCAGCATCTTACTCTGGGGCTTTCGTAAGTTCTTCCACTGAGCTTTGCGAGTCTCAGTACTGGGTCCAGCTGGACCTAGGACAGGCATTTGCAAGAAATCCTGAACAACTTCGGATTGTCCTTTGTGCTTCGCAAGACGTGACTTTTTGGCTATTGTAGGATCGACGCTGGCTGATACGCCCACAAAGCTGGTCAACAAGGCAGCTGACTCCCCAAATTATTGTGCGTGTACTGGCACAATGATTGCATATTCAAGCCTTCACTGGCATTTGATACTTGTTGATTTTGCTTGGAACACTTGGAGAAACTTGACTTGCTGAGGCTTGTTTGTGGAAGTAATAGCGGTACAGCGCTAGCCAGCTCGTGATTTGAGATGTTGCAAGAGGGAAGGGGAGCTCTTCCAGATTGTAAGCAGGAACAACCAGTTTGGCAAGGTTTTTGTCGAGTCAGATTAGGAACTAGGGCTAGCGGCTAAGGGTTGAGCAGCATTGTTCTCCAGGCAGTTACTCAGTTGGAAGCAAAGCACATGCCATGATGCAGTCATCACAGTCACCCAAAAGCTCAAATCATTATGCATGAACAGTAGGCTGGCAAGTCTCCAATCATTGTACAGCGGCACAAGAATCACACTGTGCAGTCTTCAGTGCTGGCAGCGTTTGCGACGTTTTGTGACACCGCTCAGCTGTGATACAACGTAGTCACTGAACTTTCGACAGGTTGTGGTTTTCGGATGCGAGGGCATGATGTACTGCGGCCGCAAAGTCGAAGTTTCTGTTGATGGCTCCGAATGGTCAACAGTACTCTTGCGGAGTACGTTCTTTGAAGCTTGGCCAGGGAACAATTGATTCACCCCATGGGTTCAAGAGGTCACAAGTAACTAGTGCATAGTGCATGGCAGATATTGGTTATATAAGGATGACACTACTGACGATGATCCGCCAACCGCGGAGTATGACGAAGCGGAGGACGGCCATGGTACAGTATTCCGCTTTGATCTACGTGCAGTTAGGTACATCAAAGTCTGGTCCAGCATCAGCTTCAATGATGCCAACGTGCATTTCTCTGAAATCGTGACTCGTTTGGATTGAAATTGATGTAGATTTGATTGAATGTGCAATATGTGTCTAGCATTTGACAGCGCATTTCATTTTTTCACCTATCAATCCATTGGTTTGCCTATCAATCTAGTTTTCTCTAAACAACCTCTCGGTCTTGGACGTCATTAGCAGGTGTGCTTTCATTTGTCAGATCTATAATATGCTATATATATATATATACTAGCCCCTCCAAAAAACCAACGTTTTCAGACAACCCCACCTTGCAAAAACACTGGCAGGCTCAAAAAAATCAACAGTTTCAAACGCATATAGTCACAAAACACTTGCAGGCTCAAAAAATCAAAAGTTTTAGGATCTATGGGGGCTTTGTGGAGGGTATAACTTTGATTTTTTGGAGTCTGTCAAGGAATTTGCAATTTTGGGTCCACCCCACCTTGCAAAAACGTTGGCAGGCTCAAAAAATCAAAATACTGTACAACCCCCCAGAGTCCACTTAGATCCTAAAACTTTTGTTTTTTTGATTTGTTTGAGCTTGTCAGTGTTTTGTGACTATGGGCGTTTGAAATTTTTGATTTATTTGAGCCTGCCAGGGAATTTGCAATATCACATGCAGCAAAGGTTGCAAATTCCTTGGCAGGCTCCAAAAAGTAGGAGGATCTATATACTAAATATATATTTGATCAGATGCAGGAGGATGTTCATTTAGCATTTTGATAAGATGCCACATGCACATTGCAGATTCAGATTTGTTGGCCCACCTCCCCTTTTTAAACAGTTTTTTTTGGTTTAAAGGGGGGGTACCATATATATATATATATTGTGGATTTCACACTGGTTTGGATGCAACCTGAATTCAGCTGCAAACAACGCACCTCCGCTGTCCCTCAACTCCCTTGCAAGCAGCGCACCTCTGCCAAGCTCTTGTTTTTGCACCGCCACTGCAAGAACGATCTAGGTTGATCTCCTCACGGCCTCGTGAGGATCCTGGCACGTCCTCGTGCCTTGCACGCTCAAGCCATGCAACGAGCCCTCGGCCCACCCTCCACGCGCTCGTGCCGAAAGCAGGCTGCGGGACATGGAAGGATCCTCAAGGCGCCCTTGGTCAAACAAAGGCACATTCACACTCCCAAAAATCTATTGCAACTTCCGAAAAAAGGAGTGTCTCCCCTAGTGGCTTTGTTCATGCTTCTTGACCTGATTCCAGCCATTGAACTCTGAGCGCGGTTGTCTGCACGTTGCTTGAGAAATTCGAACTCATCGTGGAGCTGATACTTACCAACTAGCAGTGTGGCGTAAGAAGGTGGTTTGCATCACCTTCGTCAAGGCGTCAGCCAGCTGGGCACCAGTATGGACCCATCTCAAGAGTATGCCTTCGGCCAGCATATCCTTTATGGCTCGTGCCTGTAACTGTATTCTGAATTCTTGGCAGTTGGGTTGCGCCGTTCGTGTGGCAAGGTCATAAAGCGATTTGCAGTCGGTCACGGCAACTGATGGCGGCAATGTTTGAGCCATGTATGTGCTAGACATCATAGGTGCTGGCAACTCTTGGCATGCTCTTTGTGGTTGCTTCCATTTCGTGTTTGGCTTTTGCAACCACGCCCAAAAGAGGCGAGTCCATGAAAGCTGGTCTGAGCTGGTGTGCAGAGACGTTGTCTCAGCCGACAAAGTATTGGTGACTACTCTTTGAATCTTCTTGCGTCCCCAGGACATGGGACTCACAGGACATTGGTAGTTCTGCATGATGTCACTGTGAGTGGCCAGAATGATCATGCCTGTGAGACTTTCAGGGACTTTGGCTGACGCAAAAGATGCGTCTGAAAACATCATGAACCGTAGGTGGTCTATGGGAATCGGTACCTTGTTAGCCTCGAGCAGCGTTTGCACCCTCGCCTTGTTGATTTCGCTTTGCAAGAAACTCAGGCGACTGGATAAGTCAGGTCTTGTGTTCACTGCTGCGAACTGAAGACTGCCGATCAGTGCCCTTAGTGCGTGTTTCTCTTCCATGGCGACTGGGTCTTCAGTGCAAGCAAGTTCTTCTGTTGGTTGATACGTTGATGGGACTTATTTTGCTCTTTCCTTGAGAGAGAGAGAGTGATACTACTGTCATCATTTTGTTGCACATCTATCCCAGTAAACGTGAACTTGAAAGCTTTCTTACTACCGAAGGGAAACTTTTTCTCTAACAGAGCAAGTGTTTCTTCAAAGTATTTGTCTCCGGCACACAGTCCGTCGTCTACATGCATGCCAATGATACCTGAAGGTTTATTCTTCCCTGGTTTGAAGAAGACATATGTGCATGGGTCGAACGGTGCTGCTTGAAAGCCGAGGGTCTTCAATGTTTTGTCCAGTTCTTGATACCAGGTGCGTCAATGACACCATATGCAGACTTTTCTAGTTTGCATATTTCGTTTCTTTGAGGCTCAAAGCTGTGCGCATCTCAGGCACTGGCTCCAGTCCTAAGACCCTTCCGTCTTGAGTCTTTCCCTGCAAGAATGCAGCCTTGATGTCAAAGGATCTCAATGTCCAGGACATTGATGAGATCAGCTGTAAGATCAACATGCGAGCTTGACGCCCCAATCTTGGGGAATCTCTAGCAATCGTATCGATATCCGGATCCAGAAATCCAAGCACCACTAATCGAGCATTGGCTTTGTGGTGAGTCGCTGATGACTTACTGGTTGTTGTGTTCCCGGACTCTTCGAGTGGTTTCCATCCGCATGTCCATCTACACCTCAAGATTTGTTCAGGATTCAGCTGATTCCGAAAGGTCTTGCTGACTGTTCCTGTATTGAGCCAGTTTGTGATTTCCTTGTGTTTTGCTTCTACAAACAATTGCTTTTCTTCCTCACTGAGCATGTGCATTTTTACTTCTGTTCTGTCACGTTTGGAAGAACTGGCAACGTACACAAAATCTTGGTTCTTTGTTTGTTTGTTTCCACTGCTCGATGTCTTGGTCATCTACCAGGATCTCAGCTCTCCGGATACTCTCTTGAGAGGTGTTTGTGTCAGGTTGCTCTTCTGAGGCATTCGATTGTGGTCTTTCGATATTCTCTTGAGAGGTGTTTGTTTCTTGTCCCATTGAATTAGGGCCAGCTGGATCCTGCAAAGTCTGAGGAGGATTCGATGTCTCGGGTGCCCTTGGATGTCTGGGAGTTGGAATCAGTTCATGCTCTAGAGCACTGACGGGACGTACATGTTCTGGAGCGATCTTGACTAGGTTGCCCATGTGATTACACCAAATGCACTGGTGGTTCCTTGCAAGAGGACTCGTGCAGGACCAAACCAACCCCTTTGGTTCGTTGTTTGTTTCCAAAACATCACCCAAGCACCAGCTTCATATGACCCCCTGCTTGGCCTGGTTCTGCGAAGCATTGCTCTTCGTAGCGCCAAACAGTTGTCGGCTGCATGGAATGCTCGACGCGCGGCTTTACGAACGGCAAGCTTTTGTCGAAACTGAATGCATTGCTGTGTCTCTTCATCTGCCAGCAGATGAGATGGCAGGTTTTCATCTGAGGATATGGATCCTGGGACTTTGATGGCCTTACCAAAAACTAGCATGCCTGGTGAATATCCGTTTCGTTGGCTCAAAGCATTCTTTGCTGAAGTGCATTGCGCCAAGGCCTTTTGAAGATCACTATAGTTGTTGATTGGATATTCCAGCTCATACTTACTCAGCATGTTTTGTAGAATGTCTCCGTGTCTCTCTACCTTGGTGCTATATGAGGTCTGACGTTGAACTGAGTCAGGAAGCTCGAGAACTCTTTGGAGGTGAATTCAATTCCGGCATCGGCAACTAACATGGTCGGAGGCCCGGCCCATTGCGACCATCCTGATATTATTTTCTCAATACTGCTTTGTCCTGGAGAAGCACATGCCACTTGATAGCTAGTTCCATAGTCTACTATGTGGTAGAAATGCATGTTGACCCCTTCCTTGGTGTTATAGGTCACACCGTCGACCCCAATCTTGTCATTGAAGTCTAGCTCTTCTTTTAATGTTGCTGGTCTTTGGATCTTGGGTTTTTTGTTGACTGAGACACACCGAACAGAAGGTCTGGAATTGCTTGAACCAGCTTAGAGTACTTAGCTGTTGAGGACTCGGGTGGCCTAGATTCTGATGAGTCTTGATTATTAGTGCCCTCGGCTGGAAGTTGCATGAACCTGGGACCGTGGGACTGACTCATAGGGTCTGCAATTGCGGGAAAACCTTCTTCAGCAAAGAATGTGGGTTGCACGAGATCGCCTTGGCCGTTTCCAACAGAAGTTCTTGCTACTACTGCAAAAATCCAATTCCCAAAGGGAGTGTTCGCTGCAGTTGTCATTTCAATACATTGAGGCCAAGCGTATGGGTCCATGGCACCTGTTTGAAGCATCTCACTGAAAGGGACGGATTTGCTTCACAAACCAAGGATCGGCTTGCGCACTTGAAGAGACAATCAAGTAGTTCTGAGCCCAAGTTGGCAAAAGCCATTGAAGAGCTTCTTTCATCCGTGTGAAATTAGGGCTCTTCCCAGGGTGGCTGTTGAGGAGTCAAACCAAAAATCCAGAATGTGACAGAAGTGTGTTCATGTGACTTCAATTTTTTAGTTGATGGAACTTGCATTTGTTGTTCCCTTTCTTACCAGGGTCATATGGAGCACGTTTCTTTTTGGGAAGAGGAAGAAACACGTTGCTTTTGCAAAGCAAGGTTGTTTGTTCTATGGACACCAAGAGTAGGAGCAATGAGTCGAGTACGAAAAGAAACCGTCAAGTCAAGTGTCAAGGATACAGGATACCGTGTCACAGTATTGTATCATTTCATATTATCCAAGTCAATTTCTACGACTTGAAATCCATATTGGTGGTTTGAAGGCAGTTTAGAATTGTTGCGTGTCCACGCACTGTTGCCAGACCCCTGCGGACTGGATGCTCAATGGTATTCTTCCTGACGGACGACCAATTGGCTTGGACCTCTTGCCCAACTACAGCCGGATCGCTCTGAAATTGGAGTGCCTTGGACGCGTGTTTGCTACA